TCCATTGAAGGAGAGTGCTGCCTTGGATTGGCTGCTTCAGGTGCTGAATAGACAGGATTACCAGGATTGCATGTTCTAGCAAGAGGTTGAAGACTAACAGTACCATAGTCGGATACTTTAGCCCTCAAACCTCCATGCACTCCTCCTGTTGTTTGAAGGAGTACATTAGCACTGCTGACATCTCTATGTAGTATAGGATGAGGCTTGAAGAGATGAAGGTAATTGAGAGCACAGGCTACATCTAAACTGATGTTTAGTACAGCATGATAGGCCAGTCCTCCAGTCTCTAATTCTTTTCTTAGGCTGGTGGGCATTAGCTCTGTCAGGATGATTGGATTACCCTCTGTAGTGGCTCCTATGAACTGAAGGAGGTTAGGATGACGTAGCTTAGAAGCAATATTCATTTCACGAGAGAATTTCGTAATGTTATGAGGAGAGATGATAATTTCGTAGAGACACTTTGCAGCAACCTTAAGACCACGAAAACCAGCTACTTTGACCTCTCCCCATCCTCCTTTACCAAGGACTACCTCTGTCATGGTAATCTCTCTTCTATTCACTACCCAGGAAGACTCTGCCACTTGTATCTGCTCTTCAAGTTGTCTCTCTCTTTCTTGGAACTCTCTCTCTCTTTCCTCAAGCTGCTGTTCTCTTTCTTGAAGCTGTTGTTGAAGATCCTGAACTTGCCTCTCTCTTTCTTGTCCTTGTTGCTGGCTTTCCTGAAGGTGCTGTTGAGCTTGTTGAAGCTGTTGTTGAAGACCCTGTTCTCTTTCCCCACCCTGTTGAATTTCCTTCTCTCTTTCTTGCAGCTGTTGCTGAAGATTCTGCTGTTGCTCCCTGGCCCGCTTCTCTCTTTCCCTTGCTTATTGAATTTCCCTCTCTCTTTCTTGTCCTTGTTGCTGTGCTTCTTGAAATTGTTGTTCTCTTTCTTGAAGTTGTTGCTGTAGTCTGTTTCTAACTTGTTCCTTTTCTCTTCTCTCCTCCTGAAGTTCCCTTTCCCTTTCTTGTAGTACACGTGTCAGACGGTCTATTTCTCTTCTATCCTCAGGTTGAACAGGTTGAGATGCTTCCCATTCTCTTCTCCTTTCTTGTAGTTTCTCTTGATACTGGTCCAGAGGTATTAAACTAGTAGACCAATCATTGATATGTTTCTTTGTGAAAAGGCCCGAGATTTGAGTTTCTTTAAGGACTAAAAAAATAAAGCAATATTAGCAACATGTACATTACATAACTATATACCGTATAGCTCTAAATTTTTGTCAAATTCGTCAGGTAAATTTTTTTGACGAAACTTTTAACCAACAAAATTTTTGTTCCACATGGGTAGTATATAAATTAATAACAGAAATCACAAAAATTTTATCAACAAACATTATTTTTAACAAAAAATTGAGATCTACGAAATTTTTGATGGATGAAATTTGGAACTACAATGTATACTATATCCCAGTTCAGTTTGGGACGGAAGTAGAAGCAGCTGCATGGAATTTGAAAAATGTAGCTACGTCACAAAATGACATATTATAATTATATTCATAGAGGAATGGCGGCTGTGTTGTTTCACTCTTAAAACAGTCTTGCTGCTGCTGATAAGCAGTACAATAGCTGCTGGAGTCAACTAGTTTTCATAAAGGCCATTATTATCTGAAAATCTTGTTCTATTAGCTTTTTAAAAGAAAAATTATCAGTTTGGGCGCTGGACTACATGTGCTTATGTAAACTATGACATCATAGAACGTCATTGCGGTTAGCTTTGGTATGCCATTGGGTTTATAGGGAGAACCTGGTTCTCAGGGTTCCCAAGGGCTGAGAGACCCAAAGTTTCACAGATTTTGATGGACTTTGGCAACTAAGGACCTGTGAAAGTTTCATCCTTATCTCACTTTCCTATAAAAAGTTATTCCAGTTTTTCTTGTCCCAAACTCAACTGGGATATAGTATATATGGTATCATTAATCAAAAATACAGAATAGCTAGTCAATGACAACTTGACAAGTAATGTAATGATACATGTACATATGTCTAATAATAACTATATATAATCAGCTACTATTGTAGGTACACCTTTGATATAATATCATATACTGATTATTAATTGCATTCATTTATATTTTGTATTATTATGTCAGTTAATAAAGCAAATCTGGTGAATAATATCCTATACCAAAAGGCTATACTGTGAATTTATAATTATTAAGAACATAAAAAAATTTAATGGAGTAGGATTCTAGAGCAAATTTGTCAAAAAGTGACAGAAACAAGGACAAGTAGGATTTCGAACAACCAACAAAAATACAAAATTAAATCCTACTCTTTTGATGCAAATTCTACTCTACATTGTACTTTTAATGTTGCTATGTATATAAGAATTACAGACCACCGTGCAATGTAAAGTAGAATTTGCTTCACGAGGGTAGGATTTTCATTTCGTACTTTGGCTGGTCGTTCAAAATCCTACTTGCCCTTGTTTCTGTCATTTTTTTACAAATTTGCTCTAAAATCCTACTCCATCTTGTTTTTCTAATTTTTTATGTTCTTGCATGTTTGTGTTGATTTTTTATAATATTAAAAAAAATTTTTAAAGATGGTGTCGATTGCTATTGTGGTGAATTGTTATCATCAGGCTGAAACAAATAGTGAGATTTGTTCGTTATAGCAATATTCAAATAGTTTTTTTGCTATTCGAACTATTCGCCTAATAAAATGATTAATGGTTATTGCAATAAATAACGGCCATGTCCGACACGTGTCACCTAAACAGGCTGCTTCTTATTTTGTTTCTCAGTCTGTTTACTTACCAATTGGCTAAATACTGATGCTATGGCCATATTGGAATGAGCTACGCTAGTATCGAGCTATACGCTAGTATCAAGCCACGCTATATGAGCTATACGCTAGTATTTAGAGCTACGCTAGTGGTACCAATAGAGTCCTCTGGTCAAGATAAGGTCCTCTAAGAAGTTTGGAAAGCATAGGAGCTCGTTTTCCTGGTATGCGGCAAGGCTGCAAAAATAGTGGCAGCCATATTGTTTTGGAATGAATCCTACTAAGTAACGCTACTGCATTACTAATATTCAATACATTTGTATTTACATGTACTCACTGAGTTCAATAACTGCTGTATCAGTGCATGAAATCTCTCCTCCAAACACAATTACCCAGTTAGTGGTTGGAGTTACATTCCACAATGAGAGAGAATGAAAATATCTATCAGTGACATTCTTTGGTATATTAAACTGTAAAGGAGGATTATAATAAATATAATTTGTAATATTCATTGTCACGTACTGTACATGTACATGTATTGTTATTAAAATTTGATTAAATCATTCCTTAATAGTTTATCTAAAACCATAAACTCCACCCAAAAAGTCTAAACCACACCCACAATACTTACCAGTTCCTTCCATGATTTATTTTTAATATCAAATATCCAAAGATCAGAAACACCAATCCCACCCACCACTAGTAGGTGTGGTCCTGAGCTAGTGTTAATCAATACACTGGAATGAGCACATCTTTCCTTAGGCCATTGTACTGATCCTCCAGGATTAGATAACTTTAAACAATTCTAAAATGATAAAATAAAATTTAAACATCATAAACCACAGTGATAAATAACAAGATTAATTAATAATTAATATAACTATACTAATAATACACTCACCCCTGATGTATCAGTAAAATTAAGAATATATACATTGTTACTCCTTCCGTTAGCAGTGAGGCCTTCAAATAATATAGCACTAGAATTATCAACTGATGTTAAAGTGAAGGAGCTAATAGGAGGTGGTCTGTCTCCAGTGACAGTTGGTGATATCCAATCACCTAAAATAACAAATATATAATTAATGATCAGTTTGTTGATTATAAATAAAACACAGTATTAATATTATTATGTGTTGTTATACTGACCTGATGAGAGTTTATAAAAATGTATTTCATTATTCCTATCATCACTGTACTGGGCACCAGGTTGTTTTGGTGCATTATTAGAAGATGGTCCATGTCCTCCAATTACTACAAGATAGTCCTCACCATTCACTTTTATTGCTATCATGTCACAGTGCTTCTTCATCATAGGACCATGACGAGATGTAGTAGGAGAGAGTTCCTTCCAGTTGAAGGTATCGACATTAAAACTGTATAAATATCATGTAATATTTATCAGTAACTATCATGTTTACCTGTATAAACTATTATGACAACAGTCACCATGACCACAATAGCCTCCAAAATAAAATATTTCATTTCCAATGGCAGCAGCTGCATAGCTCCTAACACCCAGTGGAGGGTTACCAGTGGTGGGTATCTGCTCCCACCTACCAGTCACCAAGTGGTACACCTCCATGACAGAATACATTGATTTCTTCTTTTCATTATTATGTACTCCAGGAAGATCAGTCCCACCCCACATATACAGGTAGTCTCCTACCCGTACAGTGGAGTGTCTCTCCCTCTTCACTGGTTGATAGTCCGAGGCTACAAGAGGTAAACAGTAACTGAATGATACACTAATAGCGAGTCACCTTTTCCCTCGCCTTTTCCAGGACCTTTAGCTGCCATCATAGATATTAGCCGGACTAAACTAACTAAATGAAAGGGATTGGAAAGGGCATAGACAATATAGGGTCAGGCTCCGCCTGACTAGACAATATACTACATGAAAGGGATTGGAAACCACACTACCACAGGGAAATTAGTCAAATTACATAGAATGTAATTCGTTGCCTAGCGACGTAGATCTATGGCTTATGCAAGTTGCCCGCGAGTGAGCAAAATGGAGGATCTTCACTGCCCGTTTACAACTATAATACATGTCTAGTATGAACTTACCGCTACATTTTTAGGACAGACGAAAAGATCAAGGTCATAGCTATTCATTGATACTTTGTTCAAGAGGACTGCGCTTATGGTCTGTATGAAATTCTGTCCTAAAGTGACGGTACTACCCGCTGTCAAGTTGTTTTAAGCTGTCAGTTTTGTTTTGTACCTTTTTCTCTTAGGCTTTTAGTTTAATCTTTCATTTAAGTTTATGATCATTTAAGTAGCTACAAAACTGAATAGACTCTTTTAAAAGAGAAATATCTCATCACTATAAATCTACGGTGTTGTCTGAAAAAGTGTTTTGTATGGTGGCCCAGAAGTATAATCCGTTGACGGGCCCGTTCAGTTAACCCGTCAACGGGGCCGGTAAAAATCGTTAGCGGGTGGGGCCTACCCCGGGGTCGGCCGTTATGAAAACGGCATAGTTACTTAATCATAGATATCTATGACTGAATCAATAGAGATAGAGAAAATGACTTCCAATAGTAGAGTAGATGGTAAGATTTAGCTTTCCTTTAAACTGTTATTTATATAGTTCTGCAGACCTAATAAAGGAGTATTTTAAGTCTGAAAGAACATACATGCTTATTCTTCAGCGTTTAAAAGAAGTTCATGGTGTTAAAAGAAGGTATAATTATTTTCTATAGACTGAGTTGTAACCGGCCTTTTTTAGTTTGATTTGGTTAAAACTTCGACTAAAGTATCTTGGTTTAAAAAGACGTGGTGGATATGCTAGTGATGACACAGTTAGAAGTGCAATTGCCAGAGAATTACGTTCTTCACCACAATTATTTGGATATCGAGCTATGTGGAGACACATTTCTATTAAATATAAACTACATGTGAAACGGTAAGTTATTAGTTATGTGAAAACTCATTGATGG